CTCCTCCTCCCCTCCTCCTCCTCCTGCTCTCTCCTCCTCCTCCTCCTCCTCCTCCTCCTCCTCCTCCTCCTCCTCCTCCTCCTCCTCCTCCTCCCCTCCTCCTCCTCCTCCCCCTCATCCACCTCCTCCTCCTCCTCCTCATCCTCCTCCTCCTCCTCCTCTTCCTCCCGGTCCCGCCGTGGCTGGCTGACAGGGAGGCCCGGGCCCCATGGGCCCCACTGCCGCCCGTGCCAGGGGCTGCGGCGGGCGCAAGGCAGCGGCGAACGCGCTGTGCGGGAGCCCTCGGTGCTTGGTGGCCCCATGGGCCCCAGAAGCGTTCGGTGACAAGTCACGTGTCGGCGGCAAGCAAAGGGGGGAAGGGAGAAGGAAAAGGCCTTCTCAGAGGGTGGTGGGTGGGGCTTCTGAAAAGGCATCCGGCCTTCCGAGAAGTTTTTGTTGCGCCTTCGGGAAGGTCTGGAAACTTCTCAGGAGGCGGGGGACTTCCGAGCCTTCTGAGCAGGCCCGCCTCTTCTCACTTCCCCCCCTCGCTCGCCACCGATCATAGGAGCCGCCCAGAACATCTTGCTAGCTCTCGCGAATCGACGCTGATCAACCCTCATCAGCGCTAAGTCGATACTAAGTCGACGCCGATCGGCGCTAAGTCGGCCGCTATCTCATCGACTACCAGACTAGCGGGCCCACATGCGAACCCTACCTCTACCCCCCACGATGTCTGAGGGGAAGGGTGGGGTTCACTTCGTTCGGGAGCTCCCGAGCAAAGTGAACCCCACCCTCCCCCTCAGAAATCGTGGGGGGTAGGGGTAGGCTTCGCACGTGGCCCTCCATAAACGCTAATCGACGCTGGTGCACTCTGAAGACGGAACTACGAGGGTACTGCAGGTTCGTGTCGTGCCGACTTCCGCGGGGCTCGTTCGACATCGCCCGCTTCTGGGTCGCCAGCGGCTCTCAAGGCTGAGCGCCGGCGGCGGAGACGCCGCCGGTCGGCACGACGCGAACCTACCAGGTATAGTTGAAACCGGTAGGAAGGATGGGTAACCTTCCCAGGGGTGCCCTTGCATCCTTGCCTCCTCGGTCCATCCTTAACCACTTTCGATGGCACACCGCGCTCGGATAACTTCAGCATGGGGATCCAAGTGGCTTGCATCATTATCGCGCATCCTTGCTATCAGTTTAAACTGTGTACAAGGCTCCCATGACATGCTACCGAAGAAGCCGAGGAAACGCTCGCCGTCTTGGTTGTCTCACCACGCTAGGTGCCTGGGTCCTCTTCGCCCTCGGGTCGGCCCCAGGACCTCGCTTGAGATTAATATAGTCACAACTGATAATCAGGATGCGCGGTAAGGATGCAAAGGCCTTGGACGCACATGCCGAAGCTAATCGAGCGGGGCTGTCCATCTCAAGCGGTCAAGGATGTGCCGAAGGGGCAAGGATGCAAGGGTACTCTTGGGAAAGTGATCCATCCTTACCATCAGTTTCGACTGCATTGACCACGAAGTCAATGCGAATCCAGCCGCTCGCCCCAGGCCCGAAAGGGCTGAAAAAACCACACACACACACACACACAAAAAAAAAACAGCGGGTCCATGAATCGTTCCACGGGCGGTATCCCGATGTCCGCGCCCCTCTCGAACCTCGAACCTTGATCAGCCCTCCTCCCCCTCGAAATGAAACGACAAACCATGCCTTGACGGCACAGTCGCAGCAGAACAGAAAATGTGAAGCGAGCGCCGGCTGCCTGGCTGCATCCGCGATGAGGGAGGAAGATTCGAGAAGGAGAGGGACGAGGAGGAGGAGGAGGAGGAGAAGAAGAAGAAGGAGAAGAAGAAGAAGAAAGAGGAGGCTGGGGAAGGAGGAGCGGGACGAGGAGGAGGAGGACGAGGAGAAGGAAGTGGAGGGAGGAGAGGAAGATGGAGGAGGAGAAGCAGGGAGGAGCAGGAGGGCAACGACGGGACCTGGGGGGGAAACCACACGGCCGCAGCCTTCAGCGCCGGCAGCGCCTGCAGACCGCTGCCCTTGCTGAGCACGGGTGGCCATCGGCACACGGACGCATCTGGAGGCTGGGAGAACGCCAAACGACGATAACCCTCTTCCTCCTCCTCCTCCTCCTCCTCCTCCTCCTCCTCCTCCTGCTCCTCATCCTCCTCCTCCTCCTCCTCCTCCTCCTCCTCCTCCTCCTCCTCCTCCTCCTCCTCCTCTTCCTCCCTCGTCCTCCTCGTCCTCCTCCTCCTCCTCCTCATCGTCAGCATGATCAGCAGCAGCAGCAGCAGCATCAGCATCAGCATCAGCATCATCATCATCATCATCATCATCATCATCATCATCATCATCATCATCATCATCATCATCATCATCATCATCATCATCATCATCATCATCATCATCATCATCATCATCATCATCATCATCATCATCATCATCATCATCATCATCATCATCATCATCATCATCATCATCATCATCTTCATCATCATCATCATCATCATCATCATCATCATCATCA